TCACATTGTTAATATTAGATAGAAAATTAATAGGGACATCTATGATTTGAATTTAGACCTGGAATAAGTAAACGGAGTGAATATTTATAGAATCCTCCACCCCAGGTCTACAGAACATACATTTTTCTCAGTATCATATTACACCTATTCTGAAAGTGACCACATAATTGGAAGTAAATTACTCTTCAGTATTTGCATAGCATCTCACAGACTTAAATGAAATATTGGTTGGCTGTTTGTTTGTTATTTTCTTCCCTTATTCCTTCCTGTCTTTGTTGTTAAGTACAATTATTGGCATAAAAGAGGTTTTTAATACTTTTTTAAGATTGCATTCCAGCCTGGGCAATAGAGCAAGAATCCTGTTCTCTCTCCCCCTTTTTCTTTCTCCTTCTTTCTTCTTTCAAAAAAAAAAAAAAAAAACAAAAAACCCTAAAAAACATAAACCAGAAAGGGAAAATATTGGCAAATATGACTAAATTAACACAAGCAGTCTATATTTAGAAGACATTATTATCAAAGTGTAAAGACCAGCTCCAAACTGTGAATAGACTGTTGCAACATACATAAACAACCCTTAGCTTTACAAATTAATTTTCAAAACCCACCCAAACCACAATCCCATAGAAAACCAGGCAAAAGACCCAACATTTCCAGAAGAGGACACACAAATGGCCAACACACAGATGAAAATGTGGTAGACCTCCCATGAAATCAGATTTAAAACTATCGTGATCTGCTTCACTGTTTTCATTTAGAAAAAAATTTAAAAATCTGACAATTCCAATATTAGATGAAGGCATGGAGAAACAGGGATCTTCAGACACTGCTTGGGGAAGAAGTGTGATGTGAACAACAACCTCAGAGACTAGTTAAAGATGTGGGACTCCCATAACCCAGCAGTCCTGCTTTAATTACATATGCCCTCGTAAGTGGGCACAGGGACATGCACAAGTTTGTTCACAGAAGCAAGGCAAATCTCTGACAACAGGAGAATGGATAAATGTAAGCAAACTATACAGCAGTTCAGATACATGAGATAGCTGTTTTTTTTTTACGTGACTATTTCTCAAAAAAAAAAAAAAAAGCAAGCTGTTAGGTGATGTGGATAGTATAATACTGTTTGTACAAAATTAAAAGATGTAAATCCCACAGTCTATCTTGTTTATGAATATGTACATATGTGGTAATAGTTGAAAAGGGTCAGTGGAAATGCTGAACACCAAATTCCCGGGGGGTGCTCCCTTTGGCATGTGGTAGAGGGCAATGAGATTGGGAACGGGAATACAGGGGGTTTCAAGGCTCGCTATTGATCTCCTCTTAGAGAAAAGTCAAACACAACTTGTGTGTTTGTTTTGGTGTCCTAGAGCAGAGGAATCATGCTTACTTTGGCTTGGTGTGTCAGGAGTTTTGGAGTTTGGACTTGGTGTGCCTTGTCAGCTTGGGTATGCAGGAACCATGTTCCCCGACCCCCAGGTATTTCCTCCACTTGCACAGTGCTGGGGACAGGTCAGGGACATCCATCTCCTGCTGGCATCTGTGACTGTTGTGATCCTTGGTTTACCCCAAGGGACAAGGATGGACAGTGACTTTTACACACTCTAGATCCCTGCGATTGTAGGCCTGGCTGCCTTTCACAGGGAAAGGGGGACATTTGTTTTTTATTTTTCCTCTCCTGCTTAAGTTTTAAGAACACAGCATAGACCCTGCTTTTGGACATCTGTATACCCCATTTAAGGGACTGGTTCGAGCATCCATCAGTGCACAGATTGGGGGCAGGACTGAGGGAGCTGTGAGGAGCCCCAACAAAGTCTCTCTGAAGTGGGAAATTTCTGGGGACCCCAGTGGCTTCCATCTTGTCCTGGTTAAGCTTTCTACATCATGGCTGGGAGACCTGTGGAAGTGCCTGGGTTGTGTCCAAGCCGATTGTCCCCGTGGCCATTGGCTCTGGGCTCTGCTGTGAGTCCAATGGTGGTAGGGGGAGCGGATGAACTTGGGGCAGCAAGGGTGGTCAAAGGAGGCCGGTTCCTGCTGGCATAGCACTCTCTCCTCTGTGCCGGACAACAATGCTCACTTCAACTGTGAGGGTATTTTCTTTCGCCTGTTTGTCACCTACATTTTTTGAAACTTGTCTAGTGGCCTTCCTTGAGGAGGGAGCTGCCGGGCCTGACTGTGTTGAGGGGTCTGCCTGGTGGCCTGGCTTAGACCAGCTCCAGCTATAGGCCAGAGTGGAGGGAGACACAGTTTCCCACAAACTCTGAGAAACCTCTGGCAGGTTTCAGACCTCAGCCTCTTCAGGTGTAAAATGGAATCTGTGTCTTACAATTCCTCCCAGCTCTAAATGGGATATAGAGGATTGTGCTTACCTTAAACTGGGGCCTTTGAGCTATAGCTGGCCCTTTGACATGTATTGTTTGGTTTGCACATTAAAAAACATTGAGTGAGTTGCTGGTTTCACATAAAATAGAGATTCTACCTTCTCTTGAAAAGTGGGAAGCTGTGGCTCCCACACGATACTTGCTGCTGAGACTTGTGGTGTCTGCCCATGTCTTTGAGGCTGTCTGACCATTTTGTTTTTTTATGGAAATGCTGACCTGGAAGATGTTTCAGTAAAAGCGCAGGTTCTGGAGCCACCCAGACCTGGTGCCAATGTATTTGACCTCTCTAATACTCAGTTTCCTTACCTCTAAATGCTTCTCGTTACATGCTGCCCCGAGGGTGCTGTAGGAGGGTCACATACACTTATACAAGTAAGGTGTTTAGCAGTGTGCCTGGCTACTTCCTATAATCACTGTGGTTATCATAATGCACGTCACAAATTGTCCCAAACTGGAGTGGGATTTGAAGTCTGGCTGCACATGAAGGTAGATGACCAGATTCCCATTCTGATAGTAGGATCTGAGGTATGGTTTAACGTGCATAGGAGGGTTTGTTTGCGGGAAGGAGCTTTATGACAGAAAATGGCTGTCCCAGCAGAGATTATCTCTTGTGGGGGTCTAGGTAAAAATGATGGTCGTCAGGGGTCCAGACAAAGAGACTGGGCCAGAGAGCATGAGGGGTCACGTTCTTGAGTCATCAGAGGCTCAGCCCGGTTGGGGCTTAGAGCCGCGGCAATGCAAGCATTGTGGCAGAGGCCTAAATAGTGGCCACTGGCGACGGGACTGGGACACCTGGCCACTCAAACTTAAAAACACTGTTGCCTCCCACCCCCCAGCTCTGCTTCCTCCGCAGAAACACGAAGCCCTCAGAGTACCTCTTCCCAAGCCCCGACTTCCTGCATCCCTTGCACACCAAAATTCATATATGCTCTAGGTTTCTTGGGACACATAGGCTGCTATGAGCCTTGTCCATAAGCCAGATCCAAGACCGAGGGCTTGCTTTGTAGTGGAGAGGATGTGGATTAGACAGCGGGAAGCATTTTCTCACAGTGAGATGACTGAACATCGAAATACCTTTCCGAGGATGATGGCACAAGCTGAATGCCCTTTTTGTGTCTTTCTTCCCATCAACTACTTCAGTGAGGGCTAAATTATATGGGAAAAGAACCCAGAGCTCAGATGGCAGATCCTGTTAAACCCCAACTCTCATTCACATTCACTCTTGCTTATTTTTTTATTTGAGAGAGAGACAGGATCTCACTCTGTTGCCCAGGCTGGAGTGCACTGGTGCAACCATGGCTCACTGCAGCCTTGAACTCCTAGGATCAAAGATCCTCCCACCTCAGCCTTCCAAGTAGCTGGGACTACAGGCATGTGCCACTATGCCTGGCTAATTAAAAGAATTTTTTTTTTTTTTTTTGGTAGACACAGTCTTACTATGATGATCAGGCTGGTCTTAAACTCCTGGTCTCAAGTGATCCTCCTGCCTTGGCCTCCCAGAGTGCTGGAATTACAGGTATCAGCCACCATGCCCAGTCATTCTCACTTTTTTCATTAAAAAATAAAATCTGTCCCAGTGTCATTTTGCATCACTAGGAGGGGCTTTTTGACTTTTAGTTTTCCTAGGAAAGTTTGCTAGGGGTAGGGTGCTGACAGACAAGCAGATGGACTTTCTGGATTCTGCTCCCATACCTGGCACTGAATAATGTCTCCATGGAGGACTAAACCAGAGGGGACTGGCTTGAGACTGAGGTTTTGCAAAAAGCAAGAGCTTCTGCTAGTGAGTTTACTTCAGCCTCTGCACAGGCTGCTGGAGCTGGAGCAGGTCTGAAGTGGCTCAGTCAGATGTTCAAGACTAGAGTCCCTCTGTTTGGAAGGATGGGCATCAACCAGCCCCTGAGTGCTGGGTCTCCAGGAGTGAGCCCTTGCTAATTTCTGCTTATAATGCCTTGGGCAGGGGGTTGGGGGTTGCTGCTGTCTTCCTCTTATCAGTGTGGCTAAGATAGGGTTGGCATATCCTGAGTGGGTGCTGGGAAACTCTCGGATCTCCCTGGTTGTGTCTTTGCATGGAAATGTCACTGCATCTGATGGGGAGTGAGGGACTTTAAAGAGAGGACATCTCAGATGACCAGTAATTGGGAGGACCTTTTGGAAATTCTTGTCTGCTTTGCAGGAATTTGAGGTGCTCATTTGGTTCCGAGTCACCTTGATCTCCCTGGTGATGTTTGGCACCAATCACATTGCCTCTTAAATCTCTGGTCTCAAAGCAGACAACTTGTCCACTGTTGTAGGTGGATGCAGCTCTCTCGGAGGTTCCTTTGGCTTAAATCAATGCTCCTTTAAGACAATCCTTAAGACACCTCTGAAAGCAAGGAGATCACCCCAAGATTCCTGAACCAGTATGATCCCTTTGGCTTGGTGCTTAAACCAAGACGTATCCCAGTTCCTACCCCCATCTCAGCATAAGCTCTTGGCAATAAATGCCAGCCTCCCCCTGCCCTGCCCTAGCCTCCACCCAGCCTGCATTCACTCCTTTTCCTGGCTTTAGCCCAGCTCTTCCCCTCAACTGTGACATCTCTACTGTGGCTCCTGTCCCGGGCTGTTCCCTCCTCACTCCCGGCTTACCTGAGGTTCATGTCTCCCTTCATGGCCAGACTGAAGACATTGGACAGGTTCCCTCCAGGTGAGCAGCCACAGACGAGGATGGCCAGTGCCTCAATTTTGTTCAGCTGGAAGACCTTGCCCAGCACAAAGGCTGTGAGGGGCATGATACCATACTGTGCCACCAGGGCAATGGCTAACCCTTTCGGCTTCCAGAAGTGAGCCTTGATCTTACTGAACTCCATGGTGCAGCCCAGTGAGAGCATGATGAAGAACAACATGAACACCAGGATGATGCTCAGTGCCAGATCCGTGGGGCGCTTGCCAAAGTTGGGTGGCAGGGTGAAGTTGAATGTGGCGGACACATTGTGGGCATCCATCCTCCTGTGGGGCCGCGGAAGACCACTCCTCCTTCTCCAGCTGACTCTGTTTCTTGTGCAGTTCTTGCTGGATACCTTCTTTAATCACCTCTCAGGACAGAGAGTTTCTGGACAAAAGCTCTGGGCAAATAGAAGCGTTATGCAATTAGCTGAGCTATTTCTCTGGCTGTGGCCCCAAAGAGGAACAGCCCAGAATTTTATCTGCCTGCCCTACCTCTCCCAAGCTGCTTGGCCTCTGCTGACTTCCTGGGTGCTACTCTCTCGTCCCTTGTCACTTTACTGCTTCTGGGCTTATTTCTCCCCTTTGCCCTCCACTGAGTGTGCCTCATAGGCATTGGGTTTCTGGGGACCTGCCCAGGGCCCACCTGAATCCAGGTCCAGTCCATCTTCCCTGCAGCTGCTTGATTTTTAGTTCCCAGCTCAGCCTTGATTTTTCAGTTTCTTGATTGGGAGAATCATTTGCTCCCAGAACCCATGAAAGTGAAAGGAGCCGAGTGTTGCCTTTGGTTCCTGGATATAGGTAGCATAGCTCAAGGGGGAGTGGGACAGGCAATGTCACTGGCCTCCAGGAGGGGATGTGTCCATGACCTGTCTCCTGGGAGCTGAGAGGATGCCAGTGTCCTCCCTCTCTGTGCTAGGGAAACTTTTGTCTTATCCCCAAACTGGGACTGTATGAGTCCCAGAGAGGAACACTGGTGGTGGCTGCTCCATACTCCCTGGAATGCTTACCTCCAGAGGGAAGAACCAGCTGGGATGGTGGGGTGGCGGCTCTCAGGAAACCTGGAGGCTCTTTCCCCAAAGAGCAACCTGAGGAAACCGTGGCTGTGGAGATTGGTTTGTGCCCGAGGAGGCCCATTGCTTGGGAAACTTGCTGAGAAGGAAGCAGGAATGCAGCCTTTTCTTCCTGACTCCCTGACTGCTTTACTTTTGCCCTGGGCCTGTGTGTTTCAGGATGGGAGCCAGCTTGGGGCATGCAGGAGCAGCAGAGAGAGGCAGGCATGCCAGGCGCAGGGTCACCTAGTGTGCGAGGTTATCCTGAGTATAGCTCTTTCCTTTTATCCCCACTGCAGGGGTGGGACAAGAGAGGGTTCTCCTTCAGAAAGACAATTGCCTCTTGGCTTGGTTGGAAGCCAGGGCACCCACCCCTGGGTGGGGTCTGAAACAGGTGATTAGGCTTTGTATGTAGGACTCCAGAGGGCAGAATAGGGACCAGGGTGTGAACCACTGTTGGGTGGAGGTGGGGACAGATTTTGGCTTGGTGCAAGGAACTACCTGAAAATGAGAGCTCTCTGAGTGGCCTCGAGGCCTCTGGAACCCTGCTTGGATAAGGGCTGCATGGCAGGATCTGTACGTATTGCATCATATCCCTGAAAAGCCTGCTCCCTGGGCTTGTGCAGTGCACAGCCTGTGGGGTCATTTACTGTGGCCCTGGGTGACATGAACTTCAAGCCTATTTTCCTCTGAGAGTCTCTGTAATAATTTCCTGGTGCTTGAGTTGAGCTGGTATCAAAGGAAGGGCAAGCAGAGGGCTTGGCACTGGATGTGATGCCTGGACTGAGCATTCCCACAGGGTCAGATTGAGTCTCTCAGGAGGCTGCTTCCTCTCCCTGGGGCTGATTAGAAGGGAACAGAGTTGCTAGGGGAGGATTTTGATCATTAACTGAATACCAGCCACTGTGGGAGGTTAAAAAACTATGTAATTCATGTTCTTGTTCTCAGGGATCTTTTGGTCCATATAAGACCACAGGTGGCCAGATGGTACATAATGCAACATGGAAGCACATGAGGGTGGAGGCCATGTAGTTGGTGGAAGCCAGGTACAGTTGTTCAGGTTGGGCACTATGCAATGCTAGGGATGCCACTTCCTAGATGTCTTGTGCAACTGTACATGAGGCCTTGAAGTCAAAAAAAGACGTTAGCTTTTTATACATTTGTCTGATGCCAAAGGGTAAAGAGGAATTGACCAATATCTGTTAAAGATCAGGGTCTGGGCATGTGTCTACTGATCCAATTGTGCACATCCAAAGAGAAGAGCTCCCATGAACACACTTGTAGTCTGGATTCTAAACCAGGTAGTCTCTATCGACTCTCCCTCCTCACCACTTCTCAGAAACTCAAAATTCTTCCACCTCCTACTGTGAGTTTTTCCCTTTGAGAAAACAGTTTCTTGCCCTGGCTGCCCCTCACCCAACTCCTTCCTATTCACTCTGTTCCTAGCAATGTGCCTTTGCAGAGAATGGAAAAATCTCCTCCAGGAACCTGACAGCCTCCATTCTTTCCCCTGAATCCCCTCTGAATCTACTCCAATTCCATACAATTTTTGGGGCAGGAAGATCTTTTGCATTATGTTAATACTGTCTGAGAGTTGCTGAGCACATTCAGTGTGATGGATGCTGTGATTTAATTACATTTCTTTTTAACTTTTATTTTAGATTTAGGGGTACATGTATAGGTTTGTTGTTACAGGCAAACTTGTGTCATGGGAGTTTGGTGCACAGACCACTTTGTCACCCAGGTACTAAGCATAGTACCTCATAGTTCTGATAGTTATTTTTCCTGATTCTGTCCCTTCTTCCACCCTCCTTCCTCAAGTAAGCCCCAGTGTCTGTTTTTCTCCTCTTCCTGCCCATTAGTTCTCATACAGTATTTGGTTTACTGTTCCTGCGTTAGTTTGAAAAGAATAACGGCCTCTAGCTCCATCTATGTTCCTGCAGAGAACATGAACTCATTCTTTTTCCTGGTTGCATAGATTCCATAGTGTATATGTACCACATTTTCTTTATCCAGCCTACTGTTGATGGGCATTTAGGTTGATTCCTTGTCTTTGCTATTGTGAATAGTGCTTCAATGAACACACGTGTCCATGTGTCTTTATGGTAGAATGATATATATTGTATGAGATTGCTGAATTGAATGGTAGTTCTGTTTTTAGTTCTTTGAGAAATTTCCGCACTATTTCCACAATGTTTTAACTAATTTACAATCCCATTATATGTGTTCCCATTTCCTTGAATGCAAATGGGCTACATGCCCCAATTAAAAGGCACAGAGGGACTTACGCCAAGATGGCTGAATAGCAAAAGCTCCGGAGTGCAGTTCCCAGTGAGAGAGATGCAGAAGTCAAGTGATCTCTGCATTTCCAACTGAGGTACCAGGTTCATTTCAACAGGACTGGTTGGACAGTTGGTGTAGCCCAAGGAGGGCAAACTGAGGCAGGGTGGGACACTGCCCCACCCTGGAAGTACAACTGGATGGAGGACTGGGGACTTTACCCTGTTGGCTCTCTGGTTCAGATACTGAGCTTCTCCCATGGCCATTGCAACCCACAGTCCAGGAGAATGCTGCCAGGTTGAAAAGCACCACAAGTTACCAACACAGATCTGAGTGACACTCTGACTGGCCTGGAACCATGAGTTGTCAGTACAGATCTGGGTGGAAGTTTTGACTAGTGTCAAGAGCACCTACAAGATGGATCTACCTGCCCCCCAGGAAGAGGGAGGTCCCACCCCTACAAAGACCAGCAAACTGAAGCCCTCTCACTTGAGAGTTTTTCAGCCAGCAAATCAGTCTGAGCTCAACCCAGGATGATCAAGCTCTGTGGTGGGAAGAGCATCTGCCATTGTGAAGTCAGGTCTAATCTCACCTGCGTAAACAAAAGCCAGAGGAAGCCTACACAGCAGCCGGGCTGAGTCTGAGGCAGCACAGCAGTGCCTCTGCAGGCAGACAAGGGACAGACTGTCTCCTCAAGTGGCTCCCTGACCCCTGAATAACCAAAAAAAAAATGCCTCATACAGGAGAGCTCGGCCTGACACATGGTGGGTACCTTTCGGGGACGAAGCTACCAGAGGAAAAATCAGGCAGCAATCCTGGCTGCTCCTCACCCTCCTTGGGTGATTCCCAGGGAAGCAAGGTCTGAAGTGGACCTCCAGCAGTCCTACAGCAGAGGGGCCTGACTGTTAGAAGGAAAACTAGAAAACAAAAAGAAATAGCTTCAACATCAACAGAAAAGATGTCCATGCAGAGACCCCAACCGAAATCACCAACTTCAAAGATCAAAGATAGATAAACCCATGAAGATCGGAAGAAACCAGTGCAAAAAGGATGAAATAATCAAAGACCAGAACGCCTCTTCTCCTTTAAGAGACCACAACTCTTCACCAGCAAGGGAATAAAACAGGATGGAGAATGAGCAAGGGAATAAAACAGGATGGAGAATGAGTTTGATGAATTGACAGAAGCAGGCTTCAGAAGGTGGGTAATAAAAAACTTATCTGAGATAAAGAAACATGTTCTAACCCAATGCAAAGAAACTAAAAACCTTGAAAAAAAGGTTAGATGAAATGCTAACTAGAATAACCAGCTTAAAGAAGAACATAAATAACTTGGTGGAGCTGAAAAACAGCATGAGAACTTTGTGAAGCATACATAAGTTTCAATAGCCGAATTGATCAAGCAGAAGAAAGTGTATCAGAGATTGAAGATCAACTCGATGAAATAAAACAAGAAGGTAAGATTAGAGAAAAAAGAGTGAAAATAAATGAACAGAGCCTACAGGAAATATGGGGTTATGTGAAAAGACCTAATCTATGCTTGATCGGTGTACCTGAATGTGATGGGGAGAATGAATCCAAGCTGGAAAACACTCTTTAGGATATTATCCAGGAGAGCTTCCCCAACCTAGCAAGGCAGGCCAACACCCAAATCCAGGAAATACAGAGAACACCACAAAGATACTCCTCAAGAAGAGCAACCTCAAGGCGCATAATTGTCAGATTCACTAGGGTTGAAATGAAGGAAAAAATGCTAAGGGCAGCCACAAAGAAAGGTCAGGTCACCCACATGGGAAGCCCATCAGACTCACAGTGGATCTCTTGGCAGAAACCCTACAAGCCAAAAGAGAGTGGGGGCCAATATTCAACATCCTTAAAGAAAAGAACTTTCAACCCAGAATCTCATATCCAGCCAAACTAAGCTTCATAAGTGAAGGAGAAATAAAATCCTTTACAGACAAGCAAATGCTGAGAGATTTTGTTGCCACCAGACCTGCCTTACGAGAGCTCCTGAAGGAAGCACTAAACATGGAAAAGAACAACCAGTACCAAGCACTGCAAAAACGTACCAAATGGTAAAAATCAATGATGCAATG